ATATCATAGTGTTGGTCAAGGCTGAACAGGTTTGTATATCACCCAGCTCATGTAGGAAGGTCTCCATTATGGTTGTTGGGCTGGGTCTGCATGGATCCACCGCAGTGAGGTAGGGTTTATCTCCTGTCTGAGCATTAATGTACACATCTGCATTCCTGCTAGGAGCTGATTGTCGTGTAGGGAAGTGTTTGCCAATCCGGTCCTCGGGGACCCCTAGACAGACCAAGGTTTTCTCCCTCCCAGCTCCCTGCCAGACAGTCCATGTTTCTCCAGGAGTTGGGAGGGAGCAAAAACACGGACTGTGTTGGGGGGACCAGGTTGGGAAACACTCATGTTGGGGATGTACGCCGTACATACCTTTGCGGCCCGGAGGAGGAATAATTAATAGAGAACAGCAGCACAAGGACAAGGGGCAGAGGAATAAGGGTTAATACCTTTTTCCTGTTAGCAGGTCTGTGTCGATACTCATCAACACATAATTTCTCCTTGACTCTGTCATCTTCGTAAGCCAGAAACCACAAAAAGTTAATTAACTTTGAATAAAAAGAGGACATGGGGAGGATTGGTGTCTGGGTCGGTGTGTGTGTGTGTGTGTGTGTGTGTGGGGGGGGGGGGGGGGGGGGGGGGGGTGATGTACGCTCGCTACATTACTTCCCGTCCAAAGTGTGGCCTCCGGGTTAACTGGAACCTGAGCACAGAGATTAGAGTGTTGAGTCAAGGGCCCCTTCAGGGTAATGCTCTCACCTGTGACATGCTGCACGTTTCCCAGTCCGTAGCTGGCACCGCACTCTGCGGCAAACGCATGACCCAGAGAGCGGAGTCACACCCATCCGTACACCCGCAAGACAGAGGTTATTTGACATAACGGTCAGACCTCATATATGGCCCTTTTAAATCCTTGCATGATGTAATGTGGGGAGTTCCTGCTCACAGAAATGCAGATTACTGTTCATCCATTACCATCCACTAGGTTGCCAGCTCTCACGCATCTGGCGCGACACTCACACTTTCAGACTCCCACACTCATGCATTAAATCTATATTATTCCATTATAAACCTAAAATTAGCTATGTCAAAAGTGTTGGGTCGTTTTCAAACCGTACAGACTATTTACAAGGTGATACATACATGTAAATGCGTGTTCGGACTTGTCTGGAATTGAAAATCTCACTACAGCCAGCTGACCAGAGTTGGCAACTCTGCATGAATGGCTTGTCCGCCTAGAATCGCAGCAGTCCAGCGGGCATCCAGGCAAGCTGGTGACACTGCTAATCCGTTACTGGGCACTCGCTCACACATCTGGTGTGAGATGGTTTGAAAATGTGGGACCACACCGGGGTACCTGGTAGAAGCACATGTGCATCAAATGTGCTTTTCCTGGTAGACTGTTGGTACACAAAGAAACGGCCCCTCCCTTTAAATTCTTCCATTGGTAACAACTGACGAAGAGCAGTAGGTAGGCCTTAAGCTCACACAGTCAAGGACATTTTTTGGGGAGGGGGGGAATGGTTGAAGGCAGTTTGGTGACATGCGTGACTGTGGATTCTCTCTAAATGTCTTTGATGCGGAAATATCATTGGTGGGCCAACAGTAAGCAGGGCTCATAGTCACATGACTAAGGAGAGTAAGTAGTAGGCTAGGCCTGTGATCACATGACTAGGAAGACTCTCTTAATCATATCTTCTGGAGAAGTTCCTTCCGCTTCAGCTGCTTTACAGTGGGAGCATTCAAGGAGAAAATAGGAAGGATTTTACTCACGACTTGAAAAACAAATCTTCCGTCAGGAAGCACAGCATCCCTGGACAAGAGCATCTGAGTACATTTTCTCCCCCACAGAATGTTCAGGCTGCTGTGTTACATGTTTTAAGCAGCTATTTACCCATTTAAGTACTGCAATAAATGCCAGATTATAGAATAGAATATATATAGAATATAGGAAAAAAAACATGCTACTTCACCTTTTAGGTTTTAAGTGGCTGGAATTATTGATTGTGTGTGAGAAACAGCCCTGTGATTCTGACCAGGACAACTGGTTAGAAGATAAATGAATGGATTGATGTACCTATGAAACAGTACTTACTCATGCTTTACATATAATAATGAGTAGGGAAGGTGAAGATGATATAGAATAGAATGCCTTTTATTGTCATTGCACGAATGTGCAACGGAATTAGGTGTGTCCCCTGAAACAGATTCAACACAACATTAGCGTATAATAATAATATAATGACACATGCACAGTAAGAACACGAGTGTCTGTGTGCATACGTGTATACAAGGTGGGAGTATATAAATAATATCGGAGTGGTTCTATATACATGGGTACAGGAGGAGAGTGTGGGGACGTTAATAAGTGTGTGGGAGTTTAACAAACACTGGGAGGGGGACTGACAGCCTTTTCTGTCTTATTAGGCAAGAAAAAATATACATATGGTGGGAAACAAGGCCTGGGAATGGTCTGGACCGAGGGGGGAAACAGAAGGCTGTTTTAAATCATCAATAAAATGGACCCTGAAGAATAAAAGCTTTTTACCTGACTCCCCACCGTAGGAGACCCAACGCCCCCTCTCTCCCCCTGCTTACCAGCCTCTGTGTAATATATGTGTACAGTCTTTCATTCAGACACAGGCACTCAGACACAGGCATTCTGCGGGGCAGCTACACACACACATGCACGTTTTTAAATTATCTTTATGACAGTCTCAAATAATTTTATCATCATAGCAATCAGGTACAGGCCATCAACGTAGAAGACAGGTATTATGAACTCCCTAGGTAAAAGCAGCCATTATAACTCATTCTCTCTGTGATTATGTGACCTCATAATAGTCCATTGTTCCTGGGCACCATTGATGAAGAAATATACTTTAAAAAGGCTGACCGTCTCAATCAAATAAGGACTGCTGAATAAGTAGCCATATAATTTTACTCGTGTGACTGTGTGTGTGTGAGCGGGTATACCTTACCTTATGGGGACACAGTGTCCCCACAACGTGATGATTACCCGTTTTTTTTTTCCATAAGGGAAAACTCAATTTAATAAAAATCTGTGACTGCAATGAAATGCAAAAACTGTTGTATTTTGCTTGGTTACTTTTGGTTATGGTTAGGGCTGGGTAGAGGTTAAGGTTGTCATAGTTAGCGTTAGCTTCTTTCCCATAGAAAAACATAAGGATATGTTTACCCGACGTGTGTGTGTGTGGGCTCATTTGCACAACGGCCTGTGCTCTTTCCTGCATCTCAGCATCTAAATGAAACAGCCACTGATAAACCCTTCGACCCGCTCTGGAGGACTGACAAATACAGACCACACCACTGCCAAAGTGCCCAGTTAGCTCAGTGAGGATGGATGCATCCTAGCCATCAGCAGAATGCCCTTTTAACTTGTTTAACTTTGGGGATTAGCAGAATCGCTCACTGCTCCGGTGCTGCAGATCAATGTGTCACTATGGTCCTTAACTAACCCTAACCCTAACTCTCTCCTCTGCCATTTAGTCTGTAAAGACAGGGCTTGGCCACTGGTCACTACAGATCTACTTAAATGTCAGCTGTTCGTAAATGTTATGAATTATGGGAAATAAATGATGTGCCAGGCTTTTATTTGAAATGAATGTTATTAAATCATAGGATTGGGGGGTAGTGTGTGGCTCTGCAGGTTAGGTTTCTGTCATAGGAAGGTTGCCGGTCAAGCTCTGGCCTCAGCAGAATAGTCTGGTGTCTGTTGGGGCCTTGAGCAAGGCTTTAAACCCAGCCGGACTAATGGTCTGACCCTGTGCTTGAAGCACAAGCTTCAGTCTCAGTCTCAGCTGTCTATATGAGTGTATATCTTGAAGGAGAGCAGGGCAGGGTGAAAAGAAGCACTCCAGTGTTCTTCTGCAAATGGTAAACAAAGCATCATTTAGTTTTGTTTGATTTTAAAGGTGTTGCAGGTTGCAGAGCTGCCCCATAACCCACTCACACGTCATGCTGTGACTGATCTATGAGCATAACCAGCGCCCCCCACAGACCGCACACTTGCTCTTTAAGTGTAGCCGGTACTCGCGGGGGTCAAAGGTCACACGCGTTCTTTAAAGTTTTACTTGCTTCTCTGATAGCAGATAATGAATTTCAGCTTTGCCTGAAGCCAAGGCATTCGGGGGAAATAAATGCCTCCCAAAAGGTCTGCTGTCCCCCCAGTATGAAAGAATAATCTAATGTCACGCGGAGAAGAAAGGTTACGCTTTGACCTTTGTGGATGAAGCTGTTCTTCTCAGCATCAGGGCCTGGCTGTAGTCTTCCTGTTAGATTAGCATTAATTATACCCTCATTGTAAAGTAAACGTTCGTGTTCCCTTAATTGGTTAACAGTTCATTAGCTAATGAAATGGCATTTTAATAATCTCACTCACATTTCCTCTGGCCTGCATTTTCAGACAGACCTTTCAATGTGTCTGCATGGCCTCTTTGGTGCTTCACACCATGATGTTTTCTGTGATGTTAGCTTTGTGAGGGGTGGGCAGCTATTCAACTTTGAACCCCCCAGAAGACTTATTTTGTTTTTTGGTTCCTATCCTCTATTATCTTCTTTCTTTCTGTCTTTCTTTGTTGTTTCATACCCCTTTCTAATAATGATGTTCTACTGCATTCCCACACAATCCTGTCAAGTGGCTCATTCAGTTCAGAAGGGGATAACATTGCATAACTAGTCAGGATGTTTGTCCAGGTCTTAGTTATGACCAATGGGTAACCAGGATGCCGGCAAACTAAGCGAACGTTGATATCAGTGCAGGATACATCCGTCGCCATTGGCCCACGGATTCTAAAACTGTAAATGACTCATGATAGATGAGCAGGATTGACACAACGGTGTCCATCCCTTTCCAGGCAGGCCTCATTGCTTCTTTTCATCTCAATATGCCAATCTCCACTTCCAAAATAAAAGGTGCATGGCCAAGGTCATTTTTTCAGTTGTATTTCTTACCTTGTTGATTTTTTTTGTGCTGTTGCGCTTCCCTCCTGCAGATCTCAGACCCCTCCCGGATGTGGCCATGACGGGGAACTGCACGCACGAGTGCACCGAGTACGGCCACTCTGACACCTGCTGGATGCCCGGGCAGCCGTCGCCCAACCGCAAGCCTCGGGGAGCCCCGAAACTCTCCACCTTCGTGTCTTACCAGGACCGCGAGGCCTCAGAGCGCCTGGGCAACGGTAGCCCCAAGACGGCGGAGGAGCGCGCCTCCAAGATGTCCAGCATCCGCTTCATGCCCTCCTACAGTGCCTACTCCAGCAGCGGCGGTGGCCACGAAGCCAGCCCGGACTGCCCCCGGGAGGAGATTCCTCTGAGCCAGGCTGCAACCACGCCTTCCAGCCAGGGCTCCAGGAAAGAGGTCTACCTGTGAGGAGGCCCCGCCCCCACTCTCCCTGGCTGCCCCGCCCCCTAAATGGCTCCTCCCCCCACCCCCTGTGCCTGATTGCTGTGCCGCACAAGGAACGCCACAGCACCTCTGTTTTCTAACCAGGACAGAAACGCCTTTAGAATTCCAACATAATCATATACATATATATGTATAATACGCACAGTTTGTGTGTGATTAATGAAGAAAACATCATCAGAGAAACTGCTACTGAAGGAATGTAAATTACAGTTCTTTTTGATTTCCATTACTTTTATGTTTTAACCTACAGACAATGTTGTAGAGTTAAATCTGAAGAACGTTTTAAGGCAAACAATACGTAGGGCAAGTGTATTTCATGGTTTTTTTTTTCGGTTGCTGTTATTTTAGGAGCACGTTCTGCCAGAAACAGGAACTTCAAAGGTACATTTTAAGGTATAGTGCTGCAACCAATGTCATGTGACTGAACCTGTTCCTTCCCTGTACCTTGTTCACCCAGAAGCGACCTCTTCGCTGATACACCTAGAAGCCTCTCACAGTACTGTAAATAATTGGGTGGTGGGCTTTTGACTATAGGACCTTAATATTTTATTTTAGCTGTAAAAAATAACAATAATTACAAAAAAAAGCTTCAGAACCTCTTTTTTATAGACATTATTGATACATGACAACATGGAACCCTTGTTGTTGGGTCTTTGTTTCCCACTGCGGGGAGGACAGGAAGTCACAGAAGCGCACGGACAACACTTATCCCGTGGTATCATGTACAGAACTGAGCGGAATATCTGCCACATTTCTTCTTATGCTCAGCCTCAGACGAAAAGGGACTGAACAATATAAACAAACAAAAAAAAACTCATCGCGAGCAGAGTGAAGTGTCTGCATTCGGAGGGATTCTTTGCTCCACCCGCTTCGACGCAGACTGGCATCTTCGTTCACGCGTCACTGCCTCCTCAACGGGGCCGCATCGTCATAGAGACCTCACTGCCAGGCACAGATGAGATGTGCCTCTGCGGCTGGTATTAACTTTCATCCGGTCCTTGGGAGGGACAGTGAAAGTGACTCGTGAAAGTCACTGCGAGTCTGAGTGGCAGCCTCCTAAACACTAGGGCGGCGACTTGGTCAGTTGCGGGAGGGGAGGGGGTGACGACACAGGGAGAGACCATGGCTCACGGTTCACCAATCCTCTCTAGTGTGCCTGTGTGTCCACCATTGTTTCCTCAGTTCAGACAGACAGCTTAGGTTAACAACACACCCTGAAAGTCAGGTCTGAGCTGTAGTGACTGGTCTCAAAGTTAATTGTGGACCAAAACTCATTCCTGTTGTTTTTTTTCCTTTCTTATTCCCGATGGCCCCAGTGGGGTAGGTTTGACTGTAAGGATCTCCAGGTCTCCAAAGGCATAGATCACAGCAGGGGTGCACTAGGTAAGAAATGAGAAGGTGCCCGATAGCCGGGGCCAGGTGTCCGACTCTGAAGCTCTTCCTCCTGTGGTCTGCTGTCACCAGACCCACCTGGCATTGGCGAGGTGTAGGCAGCAGGGCGGCTCCTCCTCCTTAAGGAGAGCACATGCTTCCCCGCTTCATGCAGGACTTGTGTGGTGATATGGCACTAATTACACCTCTGGGGTCTCTTCATTAATGGTGATAATTTCACATCTGAAATGGGGAAGGGTTTGTGATCTAAAGGTAATTTTTGAGTGATTTATTAATAGCTGGTGGCAGTGATGGAGTTTCACTTGTGGCAAAAAGTGTCAGCCACAATGGGGTTAATGGAAGCTAAAGAAAAAACCCCTGTCTGCCTCTTCGCCACTCCGGTACGCCATGTATGCTCCCCTCCCCTCTCCGCAGCATGCCTGCTGCATGGAGCAGGAAGTCAGTCCTGGTCTAAGCCTGTCATCATGTCTGCTGCCATCATTTCCTGTTCCTTATTTGCACTGTGTTTTCACTGTTTCGATCAGATGAGGTGGTGAACAGGCTGCCTCTCATGTGTTTATTTAATATGTTGTTGTTTTTTTTTCCTGGTGCCTCAAATGGGACTCGTCAGTAGGAAATAATGGCCCTGTTGGACGTTTTGTGCAATAGCAGCGCCCCGTAACGCAGTGCGACGCTCTGCATCTCGGGTGGCAGCTGTGGATGCCGACAGGCGGACGTGGTCACACCTCATCCCAGGCTGGGTGTACGATAAACAGCGCTGGGAACTGCCAGTGAGCGGCGAGCCTTTCACTCGGGAGCTCTGTCACAATCGGGGAGGGAGGGTTGACACTTTGACAGCGTCTCCCAAAGCTGTCCAGCTCTGGGCGAATATCCTGGGGGAGATTCTGATCCTTCACTTGGGGGCTGGGGTGCAGCACACGGTAAAGGAGCTCGGACGCAGTATGTGACATGGAGGAGTGAGTCTCAGAGCACTGCTCAGAGGGGATCACAGACAGAGCATCATATCCCCCCCCTCACATGAGAAGGACAAAGACAGGGCAACCCTCATACAAAACAGGGAGAAAAGGTATCACACCACCCCCACCCCCCTCCAAAGAAATGAAGAATACGTAATTCATAACAAATGTTCAAAATTCACTTTTTGGAGGTAAAATTAAAATGATAATTTGACTGGAGTCCAAAGGTGTATTTTCACAAGAACGACAATCAGTTAAAATGAGCTAATTAAATGCATGGAGATGAGAAAGGTAAAAAAAGCCATTTCCTAACCGTGGTAAAATGTGGTTAAAACAGCGTGATCTGCTGTAATTGCATTTCAGCCCGGTCCAGCCAGAACGGCTCTGCTGACTCGCCTTGGCCCTCGGTCTCTCCGCGGGGTTCCTGTGCCGAGCCCCGGTCATCCCTTATCCTGGACGGGAGCCACTGGGCCAAGCCATGTTACATGCAGCGGCTGTAAAAGCCATGTGACCGTTAGCGTGTGGCAACCAAGGGGGTGGGGTGGGGGGGAGCTGTGCGTACCTTCAGAATGAGGGGGTGGGGGTGCGGAGAGTTCAGTGTTGCGTGCTGTCAGGAGCTCATCGCTTGCGACATACAGACAGATGGAGCAGAGTGCTCGAGGTTTCACAATCTCACCGGTGGAACACGGCCAGTATGACTCTGGTGACAGTAATCAGCAGCCCAGTGACATGTTCCGAGCTCAGCTTTTATTTAAAAGTGTGAACTCCATGACTCCCTCTCATTTTTGCATTTATGCTGCAGCTTGGCTGGTGGGCTGCCGATGCCGCTGTCAGAATTGATTTTGTTTTTTTTTCCAAAGGGGGGCGGGGACTGGGGGCATGCCATTACCTCCCCATTAATCGACAGGCGGCTTACGGGATGAGGTGTGTGGATGAGGGCGCTGTGTAAGGGGGAGGGAATCGTGTTCCTGTTGCACACTGTTTCTTTGTAAATTTCAATCTGATTATCTATGAAATGTTTATGAGAAATTGGAAGCTTTAAAAATGATGGAGTCTCTTCGTGCTACTTTTAACACACACTTTTGTTTATGTTTTTGTGGACGCTCTGATCCTTGTTTGA